AACAGATACAGAGAGCACTTTTAATGCAGTCCTTCCCCAGCAGTATTATCCTTGTGGCCTCAGAGGCTGAGAGAGGGGGCTACTGGGACCAGTGATCAGTGGGTATGGTAGCCAGCAGTGCTCATGCCAGCCTGGTTGGTTAGCATCGTCCCATTCACTCCCTGCCCAGGCTCCACCATGCTTCCATTGCTCACAGCACCCACTCCTGTCCATCCAGCACCAGCATGTAAAGGACTGAAGGAGCAGGCAGAAAAAAAGACAGTTAAACAAATGGAGTCAGATTGACAGAAAAATCAGTAGACAGAATTTATATTCTGTGACACAAAACACAGCGGGTTCTTGCGGGACACCAAATGGGTGCTTCTGTGTACAGTACATATGGTGGGATGCAAGATGAACAGCTGTCAGATATACCAGCTATTACATAATTATTAAAACCTCTGGGGGGGTTAGTACATTTCACCTACAGTCACACTCATTACTCATCCAATATTAATTATCCCATTTATAGCTATTTTTTATTGTTCCCTCATATCTACTCTGCTTCCCTAGTCACTATACACCTATAATCAGAACTCAAGCAGCAGTGATCTGGGCCAGAGTGCTTTTGCTTAAAATGGTGGAGTGAGCAAGGATGTCCTGTTTGGTGAATACAGCCCCTTACTGGAAAGAACTAATGCTTGAAGTGAGGGAAGTGAGGAGACTGGTTGGGTGAAGGGAAAGCATACAGTGAGTAATCTGCATGTAGGCACACTAAGAGAAAGAGAGGGCAAAAGAAAAATACCACCATTTGCAAGGAAGAGAAATATTTTGGCCCATTCACTTCTGACTCATCCTAGTACTCACTTGTAGCCCTGCTGATCCCAGGACTGTCCGTAGACTCCGTAGCTGGGCACCTGCCATCCATTGGGTACATACTGACCAATCTGCTGTGTGTTACTGTACCACTGGCCCCACTGACTGTAGGGCTGTGCTGCGAAGCTCACAGTGTTCTGCTGACATACAGAATAATATTTTAGGCCACAGAATATCAAATGGCACCAACATCATTGGAAGCCAAGCACCACAGCAGTCCACCACTATGCACTGGATGTAATGTAGAAGTCCAGGGTGATTATAGACAAGCTGTAAGTTGAGGAAAACCCTGATTCATACCTGTGGCATCTGTACTTGCTGAATGGGGCTAACCATGTCTGTTGTTTCCTTGCCCCAGTAACACTTGACTACATAGCCCTCTATGGATGTGCCATTGACAGAAACAATGGCATGAGCTGCCGCATCATGCGAGCTGAACCTGCACAGTCAAAACATATTAGATTGTATTGTATCAAGTCATCCCACACAAATATTAGGTTTGTATTTGGCAGCCATGGCATCAGATAGAATCACTGCCTGATCCGACAGCTCAGTCAGAAAGTCAGCTTAACTTACCTCACAAATGAGTAGCCTTTGTCTGGGAAAACACGGATTTCCATTATTTGGCCAAAAGGTGAGAAGGTCTGTCTCATTATTTGCTCTATGAACAAAAAAAAAACTTAATATTTCCATGTGGGAGAAGTTCTTCCAAACCTGCAGCTTTCAACTTTCTGACAATCTATGGCTCACCTGTGAGACCTGTCGTGACGCCTCCACAGTAGACGGTGCAGTTGCTGGGGCTGGACTGGTTCACCACCTCATCAAAAGACAGCTGCTTGGTATTGGTTGCTAAAAAAAAAGAGAAGAGGGGATTTCTCTTATAATATGAGGGTCTGCCTGTAACACATGCACTGCACTCATCTATTAAAGTTAAATAACTGATTTTATTCTTTGGGCAGGTTTGAATAGCACTGGATTGGTGCAAGGAAGGAAAGAACACTGATATTCTAAATTAATAATCCTGCAATATCTGTGCCTGTATGTGCATGTGGTCCAACAGGAGCTGTGTCAGAAATCACTCCCTCATTCATTCATATATCACTCTCTATACAATACAGACTACAGAATAAGTCGTCTTAAAGCGAGTAAAACATTATGATTTCAGACACTTGTTAATCATTGTCATATTACATCATCACTGACAAGTGCAACGGTAACTTCCACATTCATTCAGATACAGGCTAACAACACAGCCTCCATCAGGCTAGAAAAACATTTAAGATGTCTGTAAATTACATACAAGCACTTTTAAAGCCCATTTTTGAAAAGACATTTCAGATACCCGGAGCTTAGACTAATAATAACAACATCTGCAGAAAAAAAGAGGTCTGTGTTTTCTGGATTTATAAAATTAGCCCATCACCTGTTTAACATAATTACTGTGAACTTACTTTCAGTCATAGTTTTAGGAGCAGGTTTCCTCGTGGCCCAGTTGGTTCTGATCTGCCTGCCTCCCAGCCACTGTCCTCCCATCTGCTGTATGGCGTTCTCTGCTTCCTGAGGAAACGGACAAACTCCTGCGTCACCGACTCCAAACACAAAGCATCTTGGCGTAAATCCTGCCTTCGACCTAATGTTTTCTCAGCCGTCTAGCACTCAGCCACTACTGACACTTACCCATTTGTTGAAGAAGGAGACAAAGCCATAGCCTTTAGATTTACCTGTGGCCATGTCTTTCACCACTCGACAATCCCTGTGGACAAATAAAGCAGTGGGTCAAGAAACGCATACACTTCCTTATTAAAATCAAATAATGAAGTGACCAAACCCGACCAACCAAAACTACTGTCTGCATATCCAAAGCCTGATGTTACTCTCATGTGCCTCAGAGCTCCACTGTTATCCAAAAGCTATTGAAAACACAATGGTGAGCCAGGCCTTCAAACTGGGTGACATGTACCTTCATTTAGGGGGTTGATCCAAAACTGGTCTGTGACCACTCTAACCAAACCTGACGTGCATAAATAAATAAAAAACCAGAGGTAGCAGCATCATAACAATGTCCTTAAAAGAATAAAGTCATTGAAACTAACACTGAAGACATGTATTTATGGCTTAAAAACTAATTTACAGAGACAACTGAACTTTTCACCTCCTGCATCAACAGCAAAACAGTGAGAAGTCCACAGTGCAATAGAACGACTTCTAACAAATGTAACAGCTGTCATTTCATAGCATGAATCTTTTACACAGGGTGCTGATTTACCTAAATATTTTCTTTTGCTGGGTGTTAAACATATTTACACAAAAAGAGACCCAAGACAGTAAAATAAGACCCTACCTGACCTGAGTATAACCAGGAGGGCCAGGACCTACTCATGTCTTGGGTCAGGTGTCACTTTTCAAACAGGCAGAAAGACGTCTACCTTCAATGAACACAACCACTGCAATTTACTCTGAAGCACTCCCACGAACACCGTCCTGCAACACCAAATTTCTTATTTTGACCTGTTAACATTCTGTTGAATCCAATGAGCTGGGGGGCTGAGAGCCACAGACAGGCTGATGAAATTAGAGAGGACTAAGAAAATGAACCAACACATTGTTGGTTTTGGTCGTTTGAGAGGGTTTATTGGCAAACACAACAACACAGACTCATGACCATGAGGATAAACTTACGATATTTTCCCAAATGGAGCAAAAGCTGCTCTTATGTCATCTGTGGTGATTTCAGGACTTAGATCTCCAACAAAGACATGGAAGTGACCTTAAAAAGAATTTCACACGGTAATTCATCCAAACAATAATTCAACATAGCGAAACATACCATAGAGAGTAGATGTGTCTACTTACTGCTTGTGTCTTTCTTTTGACTGGTTGGCGTCGTGGCCCAGTTGACCTTGACCTCCTGCAAGAGAGACACATGTAGAGAGCGAGGAAGAGGAACAAGGTGAGATGTGACGCATGCCTGCAGAAGGGAGGAAGGTGCTGTTTCTTTGATCAGAGGTTTTGTCACACACCAGTTTTACTTAGGTCATACTTTGAAACTGAGAACTTTTTTAATAAGATGGTCTCTGTATGCCACACTCGGGTTCTTAAACCACTACTACAAACTGACTTATCCATCGTTATCTAATTTTACATACCTTTGCATTAACTAGTAAAACAGTAAAACAGTGGAGAATATAAAGGGATATCAAGAGTTCACCTTCAAAATCAGGAACATTTCACTCTGAGTCTAGTAAAAATTTGGAGCAAAACTGAAGGAAGTAAGGTCCAAATAACAAGGGACTTACAAACAAGTGATTTTTACGAACTTGTTATACTCCTCAAATGGTCCTTCAATACCTGTTGAGGATAAAATATTTTCAACTGAATGTATTTTTCTTCAAGTTGCTCTTATGTGGAGTCTATGTGGAAATAACACAGCAGTAAAAATGTAGGGGGACAGAAGAGCATCAGTTAAAGGAGATCAGAGAATGTTACATGTAGCATGATTACACAGCAGCGTCATGTTAAATTAACTCATACACAGACGGCAAACCCACTCAAGGAAAATATTCATTAAAACAGACAGCATGGAGCATAAAGTGACAACAAAAACCCCCAACAGCGCTTTATTTACACCTGCGCAAAGGCACAATGTAGTCTACATTGATCTTTGCTGAGTTACCAGTTTATTAGGTACGCCTGTCATGTAATCTTATGCAAAAAGCTGGAGGTTTAATTGAGGCACCTAGTTAAAACTAATCCAGGAATCCTGCATTAAGTCCCATTTTCAGGAAGCTGTGTTCAGTGTTTGTTGCAGAGAAGTGATGATTCAATGGTATGATCATTAACTGAACACATTCATCATCTTCTATCACAGGACTGTGGTACTACACTGGTAGTGTGCCTAATAAACTGGCAAAACTGGTACATTTGACTGGTGACGACTGACCCTAACATCACACAACATGTGGACGCTCAATTAAGAGGTTTTTAAAAATGTTTTCATAACCTAACTGGTCAGCTAATAGAGTATGAATCTACTAAACTAATCCCATACAAGAATTTTTTACAAGAATGAATCACAGTGAACTCTGTTGTCATGAGTTGATTTTTTTACATTTTCAAAAAAAAGTCACAGGACAAGCACAACCAGAGAACTTCGGATTCTCAGTTTTTAAACTAATTCCAGTGTCACTGTGCATGGATCAGGTTTTGTGTGACAGCTGCAATGTTGCCAAAATCAATAATAGCTTAAGTGCCAGTGAAAAACGGATGCAAGGGTCCAAATTAAATAATTAATGCTGTCAATATCTGATAAAGCTCATGAGTCTGAATGTTATCATAGAAAGTAATTTGTTGAAGAACAAGAACACTTTGCCACCTAAACCTACAACATGATGAGAAAAACATCAAAATGCAGAACACACTCAATCTAGTCATTTAGAGACTGATTAGTTTGTTTTACATAACGGTTTTCATGTTTGAAATTACTACTTGGTCCATCTACTGACGTGTTAATATGAGAAAAAAAGCAGGAAATCAGTTAACAAATACAAACCAAAAGCTCATGCTGTCAACATGTCTTAGGATTCTTCACAGCAGTGAGGTTAGTGTCTGCTGTTCCTACATCAGTCATTTCAGACTGTGCACAGACGAATAAAGTGCACAGGGGAATAAAACAAATTAACTGCAGCAGGAAGAGGGTAGTGAGATAAGGTTTTACATGATACAAGCTTGTGCGGCTGCTTCGTTTCAACCCTGCCCTCCCAGCCATGCCCTAGTTGACTCACCCAGGAGATATGATAGCTTACCTTACCCAGTATTTTCCGACCATTCATGGCTGCGATTGTGGCAGTTGCATGTCTATGCTCATAGAACTCCACAAAGCAGTACGGATCATGACCTGCTGTCTATAGAGTGTGTAGGAAACAAAGATTAAGTCAGTATGGTCATTAAACAAGTCGGTAAATAAAAAATGTCATGTAGAAAGCCTGACCATATATTAGCAAGCCTGTTCAAGCTAAGTGCAGAGAAATCAGCGAGGACAATAAAACAGCATCAAAAACAGGTCAACATGGGTTATTTGGAAACGGTTTGGCTTTTTAAAGCTAGGTCAATAGCAGAGTGATGTTTGCAGCACAGTATGCAAACGACTTGTGCTGATGAAGACAGGAAACACAAGCCTTTTTTTTACTATTTGAAAGGGGAACAGCAGAAAAGTAGCTTTATACACTTATCCAACACGAGTATAAACGTTGGTTTGCAGGGATCATTAAATTATTGATTCAAAAATAAATGATTGTTTGGAAACATAAAGCCTTGTGATTTATTTAGGCTCTAGACTGAATATACCCCTTAAAACTCAAATTAAAAGGCACCCTGGAAGGTTTCTCTGTAAACATATTTACATTCAGTGTGATATGATATTTCAGGCCACTCACCCAGTCCATGTGACAACCATGCCTGGTTTTGCCTGTTTCCATGTTTATTTGTTATAGAGTCAGTAAGAGAACTGCAGTGAGCAAACAAACAGCAGCCTTGTCATCGTGTTCCTCGTCTGTGGAGTGCTGGCAGCCACTACAAAACACGTCGCAGCTTCTCTGTTCCTAAATTTGTTAGCTACAATGCCAGCTAATATCATGGCTCATCCGTGGAAGACAGCTAATGAGCTGTTAATGTACGGTGTTATACCCATTCTGTCTAAATGATATCTTGGTAAATACACCCACAGCTTGCATGTCATTTAAAATCTGGGAAACATTTTCAGTGGAGATATTATACTGGTAGTTTTTCCTCAAAGTTTAAACCTCTGACTTTTCACAGTTAACACTATCTGACCATCACATTTCTAAACAGCTGGTGTGAACTGGTAATTTTAGGGGATTATTAAACCAGCAGGGAAGCACTGAAATAAACACGTGACTATAAAATGTCAGTGAAAGATAATTCAGATACACCCCATGCCCCTGTCAGTAACTAAATGTAAGAGATCCTTATCAAAAATATTTGCTCTGACTTTGTTTAGAAAGGATGACATATTGTAATGGGATTTTAAACTCTCAAATGCTGAAAAGTCAGCTTTAAAAATCATGTATTGATCAAGTGCTACTAGAAAATAGCTGTGGCTCAACAGGATGAGCAGAGGGAGAAAGGTGTTTATCTGTGGTTCTCAGAAGCAGCCTCACACTGCCTTAGGAGAACTGTATTATTTTCTTATGTAAAGCAAAAACGGACAGGGTGAAAACGATTAGTGACAGACTCACATCTACTATCATTTTACAGCTCTTGCAGGGTCCAATCTGGCCAAACAACTCCAGGATGAGGGCCTCCGTCACATCCCGGGACAGATTCCCCACATACCTAGATACACAAAAAATGGACGGAAGACACAGAAAGCACTAATTCACTTACACTGCGGTGTAAATGGTGGTGATTCCAAATCTTTCCCTTCAGCTGAAAATGCAGCTTGGGAGCTGAGCATCAATCATAGCATTTACTTGGATGCCAGGCATGTTCAAGTAAATGTCAAGCAATCGTCAAGGCAACAAAATCAAGGTTGTTTATGCCAAATGATTTTGTAATAATTGAATTTATTAATCAGCTCTTCAACCAAACAGAGTGCGAATAAGACTAGTGAAATCTCAGCTACTGGTTTACTTTACCCCACTGCTAGCTTTAAACAGAATTAGCTAACTTAACGTTAATTTTGCCCAAGATATAAAAAAAAATACTCAAAATTCTAATTACCCCTAGCATTAGTATACGTAATATTTTAGCTAGGATACTGGTAACGAAACTACTAAATATATTCCAAGGCCTATGCAATAATGATCTATCGCCCTAGCAGCAACATTGTGCTGGTAACCACACGCCAAACTCCGTAGATAAAACAGGTAATTCTTCCATTTACAGTCAATATTATCTACACTGTACGAGCACTCAACATTTGACAAGTCTTTGAGAGTCACAGTTTCATTCGGTACACACAAAACACACCAGTCTGTATTTATTTTATCAGTAAATCGTTTACTACATTTGGTAGTCTTGAGCGAGCAGTGGAAGCCGACGCATTAATTTGAGATTTTTCTGGAAACCGCTTACTGGCGTCAACCCTGCTGGGATGACAACGTTCCTAATGTAACAGCAGTAATGTTTTCGAGCTTAAGTGGTAGTAGGCTGTATCTAGTGAAAACCGCATAAAATCACTGGCTATCAAGTTCATTTGGTGTTCAGTTTCGTGGTAGCATTAACAAAGTACCACTGAACCTTAGGTTACGCGACGAGTACAAATGGCTAACGCAGACACACACACTTACAGCGTTCTGGGCAGGTCATCGTCCATTCTGTCTAACTTGCTGGCCGAGAACAAGTCGCAACCCTGAGAACAAATCCACGACTGTCGCGGGCAGCTGCCTATGACGCCGTTAAGTTATTTTTATTGCGCAGTACGAAGTGATTTACCACTGCTGTTAGCTCCAGATTAAACAATGGGTTAGCCGACAAAAATGGCGGAGCGAACAGGGCCGAAATGACACGCGCATGCGCAATAGTTCAGCCAAAGGCAACTTGAAGCTGTGTACAAAACAGTAACTAAGTACTCAAGTATTGTAATTAAATATGCCTTCAAAGTAATTATCCTGTAGTCGAGCATTTCCACTTGAGAAAAAGTTAGACTTGAGATCCACTACATTTATTCAAATCAAATCAAATTTTATTTGTATAGCCCCAAATCACAACAAAAGTCATCTCAGGACACTTTACAAAGTAAGGTCTAGACCTTACTGTTATCAATATTATTACATAGGGAAAACCCAACAAATCCCCCTTGAGCAACCACTTGGCGACAGTGGGGAGGAAAAACTCCCTTTAACGGAAGAAACCTC